CTTTTCGAAACTAAATATGAAATAATTCATAACATTCCAAATTACGTATAATAGACCAAAATTTGCATCTCCCTCATACAGCGCTTAAACAGTTCAGAGCAAAGTCACGGATAGAACCCCAGAGTAGACCCACATTTGAAGATAAAATAAAGGAAATAAAATTAGCCTCAGTGAAAGAGAGAAGGGAATTATCCGGGGAAAGCGCCAAGCCATTGTAATTATATAGCACTAGGAAGGGGTCAGGATAAGGATTTAACATCACGACGCACTATTCTCAGAGGAACTAAATAATAGGCAGATAAATACTCATATAATAGGAACCAGAACGTGTTGACACAGGTGTTAGTAGAGGCAGACTCTGTATATAAATTCATACAAACATAATACAAAACCCATTGGAATAGTGAGCAATAATACCAATTGATTGAAGGCAGGTACCTGATTGAAATATAAACAGTAACAGCTGTAGGAATAAACATTGTCTCATATTTGCGTATTACAAAGATCTAAAGCCTAGTGCTAGACGCTTGCGAAGACTTGCAATAAATCACTGAGGACAGGGTAACTTCAAAACCTTTGGAATACAGCCAATATCATGCCAATATACACAAACGGAAGAGAAACAACAGGGGTACCCCTTATATGCATGCCAAGCAGAATGAGGCTTAAAAATAATAAAGGGAGAGAGAAGACAGGATCATTTTGAAATGGCCTTAGTAACGTAACAGTATCCAAGGATTCAGTCAGAGCAGATCTGATTCTGCTCTGGTGGGATCTTTGACACATGATCACGGAGGCCTTGGAGGGGAAACAAATGACAGAAAAGGATCATTTTTAGTAAATTGCCAAAAAAATCTTTGATACTGTGCTTATAGAAAATGAGTCAACAAAACAGACATAGTTGATCCCATTCGTTCTACCTTCAATCTCCACCCTTATTCCTTCTCTACTATACTCTCTTCTCTCTCTGTTACCTTCTCTCAAATTTACCCCCTTGTTTTATCTTTCCTATCTGCCTTTCATTCCCGCTTGCCAACCCTAATACCGTGTCCCTACATAATTTCTTGTTGATCTCATTCTCAACTTCTGGGTGTTTTATATCTATACCTTCATCTTGCCTTCCCATCTCTCCCTCTGCATCCTGCCTTGACATCCATCTCGCTCTCTCTCTCTCTCTCTCTCTCTCTCTCTCTCACACACACACACATACACATATATCGAATGCACTTCAAGTCAAAAGAATCAACTCTGAAATGTATTTAAAGCCCTTGAATTATAATTAACTCAATAATTAATTCTCGAATTTTTGCCGAAATTCTGGTATGGACCAGAAGGTAGTCACCTCCGGTAACTATGTGTTAATGCTGCATTGACGTGTGTTTGTGTTTCTCTGCGGGTGTGTTTGTCTGCGTGTGTGTTTGTCTGCGGGTGTTTGTCTGCGTGTGTGTTTGTCTGCGTGTGTGTTTGTCTGCGTGTGTGTTTGTCTGCGGGTGTGTTTGTCTGCGTGTGTGTTTGTCTGCGTGTGTGTTTGTCTGCGTGTGCGTTTGCCTGCGTGTGTGTGTTTGTCTGCGTGTGTGTTTGCGTGTGTGTGTGTCGGCGAGAGAGATTGTGTATGTCTGCGAACGAGTTTGTGTATGTCTGCGTGTGTGTTTGTGTCTGCGTGCGTATTTGTGTGTAGTGTGTTTGGGTGTTTGTGTTTGATGCCCCTTAATACACTGAGCTTATCAATTGCCAACTTAAGCTGGATGATTATTGAGTTACACTGAGCTATAAATGGCTGCATAGTGTGTGATTTCTGCCTGGGATCAGTTTTAATTAAATGCTCTTCTGTATCGTATAGTGCTGTTGTCTGTACCACTGTGTACGGTTAATTCTACATGACCTTCATAAGGTTCTTTACGTGACTCTCACAAGGTGCCTCTATATCTCTGAATCCTATTTCTCTGCTAAGGTATCAATTTATTTCTGTACCGCTTTATAAGAGACATCAATGACTTTTTAACGCTTTATAAAGACGGCTAAATCTAAAGCTTTATCAAGGTTCAATAGCATCTTTGTATCGCTGTATCACTGTACCTCTGTATTTCACAACACACTCTATAAAGGTACGAATGCGTCACCGTACCGCTCTCTAAAGTACAAAAATGTCATTGTACCGCCCCATAAATGTTCAGATGCTGCTATAGGAAGGTATATTTACATCACCGTAAACGTACGGTGATACGTACGTAAACGTACGTATCACCGTAGACTCGCTAGACCCGTTTATCCACCCGTAAGCAGTATTATTTCTGGATTATTTTAGTCTACCTACCAAAAATAACAGGTGAAAATCCATTTCAAATTTCTTTTCACTGCAATCAGCAAACACTATTTGCTAATTTAGTTACTGCCAGGATGCATTAACTCCGCGATGCCAATTTACTCTAGATTTGCATAAAGAATCCAGGAGCCAAAGTTAGATTGCAGATGCTTAGTTGACGTCAGTTTTACAGCTCCTAAATTAACATTAATAGAAAGCGTAATTTGTTGATTATCTAGGTCAATTAAATGTGCGTGTGTGTGTGTGTGTGTGTGTGTGTGTGTGTGTGTGTGTGTGTGTGTGGGGTTGTACTTACAGGGATTGAACTGCGGTTGTTTGATCCCGAATTTCAACAGTTAATCAACTTATTTTCCGGTCATAGCTACATTTGGAACTATGTATAGAGTCAGCCTCAACCACATAACTGTCTAATGCTTTCCATTTATTAACTAGAAATAAGTTTTAAGAGACAGAGTAATGTCCATGTGACTAAACTGGGTTGTCAGATTCCACCTAGGTCCGTCGGTAGAGCTCTGAGCAAACAATCATTACAATGACACAATTTACGCAATGACGCAATGTACTTACAATGATGCTTAGAGGCCCCACACTTACAAAGTTACAAGTCTCTACTAAACTTATATACTGTACTCGTAGACAACTCCAACAGCACGTCAAAAATAATCTGCCAGTTGCAATATAAGAATTATCTCATTCAGCCACCTAATTACTTATGAAACCCTTAACATCATCCAGTTTACTGATGACAATGGACGTATTTTCTGCCGAAAACATACTCGTGTTGATTCTTATCTCCCCATTAACTTTAATTAATAACTATGTTGCTTTAAATATCATATGCTAATTGGTGTGCTTGTATGAGGTGATAAAATATAATATTATGCAAATATTCACATATAATGCAGTAGTCACATTGTAATATCTATAGAGACTAGCCTTGGTAATAATAAGAGTTATTTACTCTGCAAAACATTAAATATTTGAATTTAATAACACAGTGTCAGTAAGAGCAATAGTTCTCATCAAATAATTGTGTCTCACTCTCTCATCAGCTGTGTGATAATTTCAACGTTACAGCTTATGTTTCACCCATCAATTGTGTGTCTTACACATTAACTGTCTCACTCATCAACTGTGTCTCATCCATCAATTATGTATCTCATTCTGCAAATATGTTTCTCACCCTCTCCTCAACTGTCTCTTAACTCACTCATTACATTCTTGTATTACTCCCATCAATTGCTCCAGTCTCACTCTCTCATCAAATGTGTCCCAATTCCTCATCAAATATCTTTCTCATTCTTTCCCCAAATATGTCCTTCTTCCCCCCTCATCAACTGTGTCTCATTAACTGAGTCTCACAAAGTCCCCAGAAAGATATCTCACTATCTCAGGAACTGTCTCAGTCTCTCATGTGCTCTACTCTCTCTCTCTCTTTCTCTCTCATCAACTGCATGTGTCTCATCTCTCACAGTGCCGCCGCGGATTATAGACACGAACACCAGTGGGGACACGGAGGTGAGAGAGGACGAGACGGCCAGATTGGTGTGTGGAGCCAGCGGGACGCCCCATCCGGCCTACAAGTGGAGGCGGGAAGACTCTTCCCTCATCGATGTATCCGGCACCACAAGTGAGTGTGGGAGGGTGGTGAGAGAGAGAGAGAGAGAGAGAGAGAGAGAGAGAGAGAGAGAGAGAGAGAGAGAGAGAGAGAGAGAGAGAGAGAGAGAGAGAGAGAGAGAGAGAGAGAGGGAAGGATGGAGGAGGCAAAGGAAAGGGAAGAGGAACGAAATGAAGATGAAAAAGAGGGGGAGGGAAGGTGAGAGGAAGAAGGGTGATAGTTGGTACTTGGAGAAAGTTGAGAGGAAGCTGAATGGGGAGGAAGGAGAGAAGGATAAGGGAGAAAGGGGAGAAAGGAAAGGAGGAGGAGGAAAAGGAAAGAAAAAGTGAAAACTTACTTCATTCCGGGTAAAGTAGAAGTAGAGACAGGGGAGAAAGGGACACAAGAAGTTGATGAAGGAATGAATGAAGTCAGCGGATATGAAAGATGAGGAAATGGAATAGGAGAGTAAGAACTTGGAGGAGCTTTTGTTTATAGTTTTGAGAAGCCATATAACATTCACGAGTTTTGATAAGCCATATAACATTCACGAGTTTTGATAAGCCATATAAAACTGATGAGTATATTACTGTTAATATGTTACTATTATCGTTATTAACGCTGTTACTGTTACTTCTGCAGTGACTGGTACTGCTTTAACTACAAGTACACGGTATACAAATATTATAGACAGGTTCCACACGGATCATATATAATGCAGTTTCCGAAGTCTATATTTAATAAAGTTAATAAAACTATATCACAGGAAAGCAGAAGCAAAAATTCTAATTCGCTCAATGCTTATTTCTGTGTGTTTTGAACAGATAAATCTCTCTCTCTCTCTCTCTCTCTCTCTCTCTCTCTCTCTCTCTCTCTCTCTCTCTCTCTCTCTCTCTCTCTCTCTCTCTCTCTCTCTCTCTCTCTCTCTCTCTCCTGAAATAATAACTGGTCCACGAGACCACAAAGGGTACGCTTGCTCGGATTTAAACTGTATACTTGCAACGAATGAACCGATTCCTGTATTATTTTGCATACAAGCCTGAATATACATAGCAGGCATATCAGTGTATTTTTCTTGTC